ATATAATGCTCACTCATTAAAACTGGTTAACTCTTAATTTTAGGGAGCAAAATAACTTCCTGTTCTATTTTTATTTTATTTTACAAACACTAAGAGGAAAGTAATTTTAATGGACTTTGTTATTTTATGAGAAAACTTCAATTCGGTTAATTTGTCCTTTTGTAACTTCTATAAACTCGTTAAACTCTTAACTAGCTTTTACGTGTTGTTAGTTTGTGTATATTCCACGTTCTATTTATGCTCACTGAATTGTCTTTTCATTATTGTTTAACACCTTCATTTATAGAAACTAAAAGTAGTTAGTTTTTAAAAACAACAACTTTCACATAGAAATTGTTTAAACGATATTTCAATATTGAGATAGGTTATTATTTTCTTTAAATCCGATTCGAGCTTACTCTGAAAGCTCTATATAAAATGATATTCGTTCTGCTCCTTTATCTGTATTAAGCTTTCTGTGAAGAATCTGTCGACACAGAGAATACGATTTTCTTCTAATAACAATGACAGAATAAAAATGATTTTGTAAAGTAGACTTGAAAATTGAAAACTTGATGGTTTTGATGGGGATTGGTGAAAGCTCCATAACAATTTCACATCGATTCGATTTTTCATGAATTTTTAAATTTGAGTTCCAAAGAAACGTTAAAAACGTATATTTTAAGAACAAAAAGTAATATTGCAAATCGGACTACTCCATTGAAAAGTTGACAGTTTTTAATAATCAGTGAAAGGTCCATAACAATTCATCAATGATTGGATTTTCCATGGTATTTTAATCTGATTTAATAAATGTTAAAAACTACCAAAACCATAGATTGATTTTAAACAAAGTATGAAATTAGAGTTCAAAAAATATGTCAAAAACTAAAAGTGGTTTTGAAAAACGGACGGTTTTAGTGAAAAGCTGATTTTTTTGTTGTCGCTTAGTGGAAATTTTATAAAAATGTTCCACCGATTGAATTTTCCATGATATTTACATTCTAATTCAAAAAAACTTAAAAATTACTAGAAATTTCGATTGAGTTTCAGAAACTATATCTCAGGAAATAAGAGTGTTTTCGCAATACGGAAAGCTTTTCATTGAAAAGTTTATACTTTAGTTGACGTTTAGTGAAAATTCCATACAAATTTTCCACCGAATGGATTTTCCAGGATCTTTTCATTCCAATTCAAAACAACTTGAAAATTACTAGAAATTTCGATTCATAAACTAAATCTCAAGAATTGAAAGTGATTTTGCAAAACGGACCTTTTCACTGAAAAGCTTATACTTTAGTTGACGTTTAGTGAAAATTCTATAAAAATTTTCCATCGAATGGATTTTTCATGAACTTTTCATTCTAATTCAAAGAAACTTGAAACTTACTAGAAATCTCGATTGAGTTTAAAAAAGTATATCTCAAGAAGTAAAAGTGATTTCGCACAACGAACTTTTTCATTGAAAAGCTGACACTTTAGTTGACGTTTAGTGAAACTTCCATAAAAATTTTCCACCGAATGGATTTTCCATGATTTTTCATTCTAATTCAAAAATACTTGAAAATTATTAGAAATTTCCATTAAGTTTAACAAAGTATATCTCAAGAAGTAAAAGTTATTTTGCAAAACGGACCTTTTCATTGAAAAGCTTATACTTTAGTTGATGTTTAGTGAAAATTCCATAAAAATTTTCCACCGAATGGATTTTTCATAATCTTTTCATTTTAATTCAAAAAAACTTGAAAATTACTAGAAATTTCGATTAAGCTTCAGAAACTAAATCTCAGAAATTAAAAGTGATTTCACAAAACGGACTTTTTCATTGAAAAGTTCATACTTTTGTTGACGTTTAGTGGAAATTCTATAAAAATGTTCCACCGATTGAATTTTCCATGATATTTACATTCTAATTCAAAAAAACTTGAAAATTACTAGAAATTTCGATTGAGATCCAGAAACTATATCTCAGGAAATAAGAGCGTTTTCGCAATACGGACTTTTCCATTAAAAAGCTGATACTTTAGTTGACGTTTAGTGAAAATTCTACAACAATTTTCCACCGATTAAATTTTCCATGATCTTTTCATTCTAATTCAAAAATACTTGAGAATTATTAGAAATTTCCATTGAGCTTAAGAAAGTATATCTCAAGAAGTAAAAAAGATTTTGCAAAACGGACCATTTCATTGAAAAGCTGACACTTTAGTTGACGTTTAGTGAAAATTCCATAAACATTTTCCACCGAATGGATTTTTCATTATCTTTAAATTCTAATTCAAAAAGATTTGAAAATTACTAGAAATTTCGATTTAGTTTCAGAAACTAAATCTCAAAAATTAAAAGTGATTTCACAAAACGGACTTTTTCATTGAAAAGTTCATACTTTTGTTGATGTTTAGTTAAAATTCTATAACAATTTTCCACCGATTGAATTTTCCTTGATCTTTTCATTCTAATTCAAATATACTTGAAAATTATTAGAAAGTTCCATTGAGTTTAAGAAAGTATATATCAAGAAGTAAAAGTGATTTTGAAAAACGGACCTTTTCATTGAAAAGTTTATACTTTAGTTGACGTTTAGTGAAAATTCCATAAAAATTTTCCACCGAATGAATTTTTCATGATCTTTTCATTCTAATTCAAAAGAACTTGAAAATTACTAGAAATACCGATTCATAAATTAAATCTCAAGAATTGAAAGTGATTTTGCAAAACGGACCTTTTCACTGAAAAGCTTATACTTTAGTTGACGTTTAGTGGAAATTCTATACAAATTTTCCATCGAATGGATTTTTCATGAACTTTTCATTCTAATTCAAATAAACTTGAAACTTACTAGAAATCTCAATTGAGTTTAAAAAAGTATATCTCAAGAAGTAAAAGTGATTTCGCACAACGAACTTTTTCATTGAAAAGCTGACACTTTAGTTGACGTTTAGTGAAACTTCCATAAAAATTTTCCACCGAATGGATTTTCCATGATCTTTTCATTCTAATTCAAAAATACTTGAAAATTATTAAAAATTTCCATTAAGTTTAAGAAAGTATATCTCAAGAAGTAAAAGTGATTTTGCAAAACGAACCTTATCATTGAAAAGCTTATACTTTAGTTGACGTTTAGTGAAACTTCCATTAAAAATTTTCCACCCAATGGATTTTCCATGATATTTTCATTCTAATTCACATAAACTTGAAAATTATAAAAAATTTCGATTGAGTTTCAGAAACTAAATCTCAGGAATTAAAAGTAGAATCGTTAGTTCTAGTTTTAGTTGTTATTCAACGTTAGATTGTTGTATATCTTTCCATGAACTAAACCTAGAACTAATACTAGACCTAGAACTAGAAGGTTTCTAGTTTAGACGTGCGTCTTCAGACGCAAGGGTGTGGATAGTCCGAATTTTTGTGCATTAAAATTATTCATTTAAACAGTTTAAAGTGAAAATTATTTTTTTTTATATGACAGTCTTTTGGTTATATTAGTCCTTATCGTATTAGTCCGTCAAATCGAGGTTTTAGTTTAATTCAATTTAAAATTTTAGTAGGGTTATAATACAGTTCTAGAATTATCCTCGTAAAAGCTTAGTGCCCACTCTAATTCAGAAACAGGAATAACCGAGGGCAATTCTATGTTAAGTAGTTCATCGAACCTATTGGGAAACAATAAATTAGTTCACTGAACTGGATTTTAGTTCACCTAAATGGTAGATATCGCCTATTCCATCGTTATGTTTATAGTCGAACGACAGCATTAACCCTAATGAAGTCAGAATCGGCATTAAATTAAGTTTTTTAGGGATGTACCCAAAAACATCATTTCGTTACATATCACATACGAAATCTAGTTTTAAAGTGAAATAAAGTGGACAGGGCAAGGAACACGTGTACACATACGGTGTACAGAGCGTCCGTATCACGATATTTCAGAAAATAACACACGTCCCAACGTTCAAAACACGACTGGCGCTGTCAGCACATCTAAAACACTTTAACCGCACCATGGATACAAAGGCACCCGAGCAGCCTGATTAGGAAAACAAGTCAACATCGTTTACGTGTTCGGGATTTTTAAAACTTTCCTTAACTGATTTTGCCAGAGGGATTTTCCATAACGTTAACTTTCAGAAAACGAATTCCTTATAGCACTTTTTAACAATTTATCTTCGAACTAACTGAATCAAAAACTATCAATTGGTTACTGAAAATAAAAAGATTATGATAAATTTCAGTTCAATTTTAATTAAAAAGATTTCTCCTTTCATTTTCTACGATGAAAATACAAAAATTAAAATTTCTTTTTTATGTTCACGCCTCATTAATCGAAACAAGGAAGGTCCCTTTTAATAAGAACAACGGGTCCCTCCGTTAAAAAGAACTCAATTCCGAGAAGATTCGTCATCTCAGTTCCAGCTTGCGCGGCGGCAAGCGACGCTCGAGGATCATTTATTTCTCTTTGAAAAGAAAAAGCCCTCGTCTACGTTCTTGCAGTAGGGCCTTAATAACGATAGGAATAAGATGGACGATTGTTCGCCGGTAGTCACAGCAGTTGCTGGCATCTAAGATCTCCCGTTTGATGTGGAGAAAGGAAGAGTGCGTTCCAATTTGTGCGGGATGAATTCGAGAAAGGGGAAAATAAAGTAGAAGATTTGTAAACAACTTTCCCGGATCTCGCGTAATCTGGCGCGGGTCAACGATGGATGTTACATGAGGCCGACTAAGGCTTTTACGCCCGTCAGAGCATTCCATTCAAGGATCTTTCAACAATCTTGTTCGCATACAGAGATTGCAATCTTCGTATATCAGTAGAATCAAGAAATCATACAAAAAAAAATCTTTTTCTTATTTATTATTAAAATTAGGGCAAACTCAAATAAACCATAATTTAATTCGAATATCATAATATGTCAGATTCCCTTCATCCAACAAACACAAATAAAACCTTTGTTAACCATGTTACATTTCTGATTTTGGTCCGTACCGAAGCCATAACTAATTCACGTATCCCTTATCATTTTCAGACGTCCCGGAAACACGGTTAATCGGAATTCCTACGACGGATATAGAAGAGCATAAAGACCCTGTGGCCATACGGTGTATGGTAGCCGCGAACCCGAGGGCGTCGGTTGTTTGGAAAAAGGAAGGTCAAACTCAAGCCGCAAGCCTTCAAGAACTTCTCCAGTTCAGTCCGGCGGTTAGACAGAATGCCGGATTATATACGTGTCAGGCCCGGAACAAGGCGGGCGAGTCGCAACCAGTAAGGGTGCACCTTGACGTTAAGTGTAAGTACCCTGTTTGCTTAAACTTTACTTGTCTCGGTTTGGTGTGTTTACACACGTTAAATACGCTAACAGCTGCTGAAGATGTTGTTAAATGTTACATATGGTGAGGTAAGGGGGGTATTGTTATAATAGGGGGTTGTTAAAGTAATTTGTATTTGTACAAGGTTTGTTATCTTTGTTGAAGGGGAAGTAAGGATTGTAGTCGTTAAAGTTAAAGTAAAAATGTTTTGATAAATTTATTAACGATGAAGTTTTGTTGTTATTATATTAGTGTTACAACATATAAAATCAATATTTGTAGTTGTAATTTCGTGAGGTTCTTAATAACTGCCCACTATTACTAAAAGTATTATTTTTATGTAACTAGGTACACTATTTATAATGCAACTACGTTTATATATTTAGGATTATGGACATTTTAATATTTCGATTGTTATGGTGAAATTTACACTGTTATGGCATCATCAGTACAGTATTTGATGAACTATATCGGTCATAAAGGCAACTTTCGCCATCTTTGTGAAGAAAAGAACGTCCTAAACTGAAATTTGAACGATGAAATCAATGATATAGATTTATTGATGGGAAATCGGGGGATTCACAGGAAAATCGTTAACGGAAATTCGTTATTCATATCATCTTTAGTATTCTATGAAAATGTCATTTCAGATATCTCCGAACTCAAAACCAGGATAATATGGTATTAAAATTTACTTTTCATTGATTCAATTCAGTCAATTGGCAGAAGGTCTTTACGCGACAAAATAATCATTGTGCAAAAATGTAACATTCCAGCTAGTTTCGAGGTCACCCGAAGCAAGAAAAAGTTCACTTCATATAATCCCAAGAAAAACAGGTGCTTTGATCACAAAGCCATAATGAGGAAATAAGCGCAGACCTTAGATGATTCTGCATTGCACTTGGTTTAAAGGAGGTGTTATCTTGGACGAAATGGTTCAGAAATATTATTGTGCATGGGGAACTAGAAGATGGCGCTAAAGTTGCCGTCTTCAATTATGATGCTAAAACTATAATAATACATTAAAACATTTATCAATTGCATTAATATCATTTTTTTAGATTTGGACTTCCTAAGAAGGGAAGTTATGTTAACTGTAGATATGAATGGATTAGCCAAATAGATAAGACTTAATTCGTTTGATTTCTTCCATTCTTTCTTCAATTCCAAATTCTACTCATACTAACTACTAAGGTAGTTTTTAACCCTTTTAAAAATTAGGATCTTAATGCTGTTTTCCATTCGTTTGGCATTTTCTGCTCATTTATGATGCTTCTGAAGAGTTAATAATTGATGAAGTTTAATAATTCCTTTTCTAAGTTTTCTCTAATCCTTGTTTTCTATCATTCATGTTATTTACAGAAAATTCATTCAGCGCAAAAGCTCGGTATTATAGCCAGAAGCAAATCATTTGAAGAAGAGAAAAAATATCAGGAGCAATATCATTTTCATTAACAGAGAAAAAACATTATTTGCAGAAAAAACTGTCTTAGGCAAAAACGAAATGTCATATTACAAGTATCATGATCAAGCCAAGAACAAAACATGACACACAGAAGCACAATATCATAGCCAGAAGCAAACAATTACAAGAAGAAGTGAAATATCAACTGCAGAAACAATATTATTATCGTTTACAGAGAAAAATGTCATGGGCAGAAACGAAATGATGTCATTACAAATATTATGGTCATGTTTAGAATAAAATAATGCGTAGACAAGCAAAATATCATGGCCAGAAACAAATCATTATACGATAAAATGAAATATCAAGGGTAGAAACTATATTATTATCATTTGCAGAAGAAAACATTATGTTCAGGCAAAAATGGATATATCCAGAACAAATTTTACGCCCAGAAGTAAAATATCATTGTCATAAGCAAGTTATTAGAAGAAGAAGTGAACTATCTAGGGCAGAAACAATATCATTATAAATTGCAGAAGAAAATACAATAAGCAGACAAAAAGTATGGGCAGAAACGTAATATATTGCATGTAGAAATCAAGGTGTTATATTTGTTTTATTGAGGTTCACTGGTTTTTTCCTAGCGCTTTATTAGCTGCGTTAGTGATATTTCTTACAGTTTTTCATTGTACATCCACGCTGCCTTCTGTATTGATTAGGATCTCCTTTATTGTTTCCGTTTTATTCCCTCTATATTCACAGAACTGTTGCACACTTTTATCTTCCAGACTCAATATTGATGTTGTGTATATATTGTGGTTTTGGTTTCGATGTACAAACAATGTTTATTATGATTTTGCAAAGTACGAATTTGTGATCATTGCCTATGTTGGCTGCATTAAGTGTTCTCACATTGAATATCATCTGTGCTGTGATCATTCTATTAATGATCATGTAATTTATCACAAAAAGCTGCTTCCTTATATTTTGCCACATACATTTATATTCCATATCCTGTTCAAGTTCTATTCGAAGGTGTTATTGATTCTCATTTTGTTTGTAATATTCTATCGCTGACATATTGTCAGCCTACTCCTGAATGTCCTCTTTTTTTCAAGAGACTCCACTATATGCAAAGATGTATTGTCAATATCCATCTTTTCAGGTATATTATTCGTGAACCACATATTCGTAAATGTTGTTCTAAGCTTATTTAAGTTTAAATTTTACAACCGCTATTGGGAATGGTTTTCGGTTATTGTACACGAGTACATTTTGTATAGATAAAAATTTTTGATGCACATGTTCACATTGAAGTTATACCTTGTGTGAGCTATTATTTTTAATTCAATATTCCAAAAACAATAAATGCGAAATATTTATTTATACATGGTACGGCAAATAAACCCGCTTTTGTTTAAATTTGTTGAGCACACACCTACATGGAATGGTATATTTGAATTTATCTCTCAAATATTAAATCGGTGCTCGTTCGGGTGAACGGTGTCAATGATTAAATTAAATAATTTAAACGATTTTATCTCTTCTTGTTTGATTATTTATTGAAAGGTGGGTAATTTCGTGATGTTTTCTGTAGATATATTAGAGAACCACATGGATTGTAATTACTGTTGGGAGTGTTTATTCAAGGTTACTAACAGCGCAATTGTTAGGGTGTTGGAAGCTGCGTTCCCGAGTTGTTTGTGCATTGTTAGTCAGTTGTGAGCGGTTCACGTGTTATTGTCACATTACACGGGGGAACTGGCTTAGGCAGTTATTGTTTCGGTAATCTATTTATCATTCTATACGGACTCAAGGGGGTAAAATTTATCAATACCCAATCTCAATCAAGTCACCATTAATGATCTTGAAAACAATTTTCAACATAATAACTCGTAATTTACTTTTTATTGTACAAAAAATATACTAAAAGCTGTAATGACTAGTATTTACATGGTAAACACAGATACACCACAAAGCCATAATGAAAATGTGTGGTAAAACTACTTACGGTAATGGTCGTACGCATTGGGCCAAAAGTTACAAAACGAGAAAAACAGAAACGAAATAATTTGGTTTTACGACCGCGTGCTTTTTCCTCCCTCGCCCCTGTTTGCTTAACATTATTTACGACGTTACGGGCGCAAACGCGTAAATATTTTCGAACGGAACGCAAAAGCAGATAACTAATGTGCTGCCCAACCCGCACGCGCAAATGTTTCCCCCTGACAGATTTATAGCTAGACCGGAACGCGTATACGAACGCAGGACGTGATAAACAGTGCAGTCCACTGTTACTTTCAACATTATTATATTTAATGAAATTGTATATGTCACCGCTTCTTTTTCTATTTTCTACACCAACTGTTATCATTTTAAACAAATTTTAATTAAATACCTGGCTAAATAAAAAAATTTATTTTTTGTACAGTAACTAGATTTTAATAATTTTTTCTTTCAATTTCAGAATGGTCTCCAACGATTTTATTTACACTTTAATATATTTAATATAACAATAAGACATAGATCTTATAATAATTGCCACACATTGATTATGCCGATGTTAATTGGAAAGACTTCAGAACAATTGTATACGGTACATTGTTGATTTAGGAAAGTTTCAGCACATTACTCCATATCGTAACAATCTGCAGATGATAACTTGCCGGAGTCGTAGATCATTTTGTATGCTTAGTATGTTGTACAAAATTGTCCATACCCGTACTCGTGCTTATTTGTCTGATGATTTTCACTTTTTAGCATCACATGACTTGCCCACTCGATCAATGTCGGACTCTACACTCATGTTTCCAGTCCATAGTACTGAAATCTACCACAGATCTTTTAGAGTGCATTCGATTGCGTAGTGGAACGATTTGCCTGCCGTTGTTCACAATGCAGCTAGTTTAATAAGTTTTAAAAATGCCTTGAGGCACCATCTGCTATCTGTTCAACTAACTTCATCTTGACCTATACGTGGTTGTTTTCTTCTCTAGTCTGCCTTTAATCTATCTTTTACTGCACTTTTTTTTGTGTCTATTTCGTTCCTTGTAGTAACTGAGTGTCGATCCGTTACATAACTCAAATATGCTCATTCGCTCAGTTTTATTAGCACATCATTTAGTATTACTTTTTTGGTAGCCATAATTATTTATTTAAAATTACATATACACTGTTATCAGTTGGGTCTCTTAGATGATGTTGCTTATTGCGATAAATTGATCCGTTTGCCTTGATGTCTATATTTGTTATCAATGTAGGTATATATTTATGGAAATATTTGTTTTTGAGGCAATAAACATTATTATTATTATTATTATAAGAGTTTCAAGAAATCATCCATTAGAAATTTCCTTGGATTTTATTCTACGGTTCTTGGCATTTGTGGAACTATTTCATTTTCTAAAAATCGTAAGATTTCATTTAAAAGTAGAACTCACACGATGCGAACACACAATATTCCAACACAAACATTTATTTTTTAGGGATACACGGTATTCAACCCACGATATTGATGTGGGTTTACGTCACTCAAATATCGCACGTTTTGACGATCTAATTTACCGATTAAAA